GCTTGACACTGAGAGAGGAAGCTTCCCTCTCCCCACCAGGAAGTGAACACTTAGTTCTGGACTGTAAAACCACTTACTTGGAGCCAGATTTCTCTCAGAGATTTCCTTGTCCCCATCCTCACCCTCAGGCCCCACTTACATTAAGTCTAAGCACTGGGTACTTAGGGTGACCTTTCTAAGATGAATATCTGTTCTTATCATTGTTTTGTTACTTAAAATCTTTTTTTTATAAAGGATTTTATTTATTTATTTGACAGAGAGGTCACCAGTAGGCAGACAGGCAGGCAGAGAGAGAGGGAAGCAGGCTCCCCACTGAGCAGAGAGCCCGATTCGGGGATTGATCCCAGGACCCTGAGATCATGACCTGAGCCCAAGGCAGAGGCTTAACCCAATGAGCCACCCAGGTGCCCTACTTAAAATCTTTGAAGATTCCTCTTGGCTTTTCAGAATAAAGGACATACTCCTTCATCAGCCGGCTTTGGTTAACTTCCTTCAGCTTTACCTTCTGCTCCTTCCCTCTCCGGTTTCCTATGTGCTGTATTTCTGACACCTCCATGTCTTTGAATTCGCTCTTCCTTTTCTGGGAATGTCCTCTGCTACCTGTGCACACACACCTCAGCCTCCCATACTACCCTCCCATTCATTACCCAGCTGATTGTCCTCCAAGATGGGGCTTTACCGTCGCATTCTCCCAGTGGCTCCCTTGAACTTTCACTCCATAAGCAGAAGTTCTTCTCTCTGTGTCCCCAGGACCCTGAATTTGATTCTCTGAGGGCACTTAAACTTCTGATTCCTTGCTGGTTTGCTTGCCCCCTTTCCTCACTTGACTGCGAGCTCCTTAAAGGCGAGAACCACGTTCTTCATCTCTAATCCCAAGACCAAGCCTGAGGCATGGCACACAACAAACTTTCAATAGCTAATCTATTTGCTAATTGAATTGAGAAACCAGTCAGGGAGTGGACCAGTGATCATTAGCTCATGGGTGTTGTGGTACCTACAACTCTTGTGGATGCAAGTGACAGAAACTTCCACTCTGGCTGGCTTTATTGGTTTACAGGATAGAAAAGTCTATGTGTTTTTCTAGCTTCAGATATTGCTAGATTCAGCAGTTCAATCAACGTCACCTAGACATTGTTTTTCTTCATTTCTCTACCTTTCCACAGTGCTGGCTCCATGGGAAGAGATTCTTTCCTCACGGCGACAAGATGGCTGACAAGCATATCCTCAAGTACCACTTGAGAAAAACAAAATCAGTTACCCTGGCAGTTCAAAGAGAGGGTAGAATTTACTCCTATTGTCCTTCATTGGTGTGTTTGGGGTCAAGTGCCCAACTCTGAACTAATAAGTGTTGCCTGTGTATATAATGCATGGACTGGTTCAGGTCTGATCACAAGTTGAAGCCATGGAATTGGGCTGTGGGTTTCACCCTACCCAAGGGGCCAAAAGTGGTCATTACCTCAAAGCAACATTAAGGTACTATTTCTATCACAAAAACATTAAAATGTCCTCCGCTATAAAAGAACAGCCATGACAAAAGTCTGTTCTAGTGTTTTCTTTTTTTACGCAAGCGGACATTTTAGAAACCATGGTCTCAAGAGAAATTCATGTTTTTAATGACTGGGTTAATTTTGTTTTTCCATCACTGTGGCATTACCAAGGACTCTCTGTAAAATGGAATTTATCCTTGTTATAGTTTTAGATATTAGAACCTGTATAAACCCATCAGAGAGTGTGAAAATTAATAAAAGGAAAACTCACTTAGAATGGAGTCAAGGCGTAGGCAGGGGGAGCCCTTAGGCCCTACCCTTCCTTGTCAATTGCAGCTCCAATAGGAAGAGCCAGATCTTGCCCAGACAGGGACACACTCTACTCTCCCAGCGGGAGGAGGAAGGGTTTCCTCCTCTCCTGGCAACAGCTCAGCCAATGAGAGGCTGTCACAAGTCAGGCAATGAAAAGCCAGGATACTTTGAACTGTCAGTTCGTTCCATGGGACTTTTTGTTTATAATAGCCTTCCCCCACTCCCTCCTTTTCTCTACAAAAGAGCATTCCTGCCCTTCATCGTGCAACTTGCCTGTGGTTCTCTTGTAGCGTGTGTGCCTTAAATTGTAATTCTGTGCTGTTCCTAAAGAAATGTATTTTTGCTGGTAAAACAACTGGCAGTTTAATTTTCAAAGTTAAGAAAAGACGTAAGTCAACTGGACAGATAAATACAGAGATATAGAATCCTTCCAGTGCTTTGTAAGGCTCTGGCATCTTCTTTGGCTTATAAAGTTACTCAAGGAAGGTGAGGAAATCGCTAAACACTACATCCATTTCTGATGAGATGGGGCACACTGGGTGGAGATATTTGGTGTACTTTGGAAGAATGAATCTTTAGTATTGGGGACACTCAGTTTGAGGACCCCTCGCAATAGCTTGGTCAGTACAAATTCACTCATGCAGATCTTTTGAGTTCTTCCTGTTCCCACAGGCACTATGATAGATGCAAAGTGGGGGGGCAGGTAAACAAACAGACTCCAGAGAGCTTACATTATAATGGGGGGAGAAAAATAAACACGCACAAATAAGCTATTTTCAGACTGGGATACATGCTATGGAACACTCTGAGTCATATGTATGAGAGGAACTAGTGGAGAATGGGTTATTGTAGGTAGGGTACCAAGGATGTTTCCTTAGGACTTCCCAAAGAAGATGCAGAACTCAGCTGTCTAGAAAATTTAGAGAAGACCCTTGCTTCTCAAAGTAGGGTCCCAGACCAGCAGCATCAGCATCCCCTGGGACCTTGTTAGGCAGAATTCCAGATCCCACCTCAGACCTACTGAGTCAGAATCCACGCTTAACAAAATCGCACAGGTGGTTTGTAGCACAGTAAATTTTGAAAAGTGCGGAGCTTCCAACCCCTGGATGCAGCGTGCAGCCCGAGGGAAAGGGGTCAATCCTGCCGAGGCAGGGAGCAGGGAATGATACTGTCCGCAGTCACTAGAAAGATGACGTGATAACATTTATTTGCTCTTGCCTTTGTAACAGAGCAGCCAGGCTCTAGGAGAAGACCCTGGCTTATCACATATGACTCTTGAAGTGATTTTCTGGGTTAGCTCCCTTGCTCTACAGGAGACTGAGGTTCTTGGGAAATGGCCTGTTCATGGTGGGGTTCCTTCGTGGCAGAGTCAGGGCTAGGATCTAGAAGAGTCCTTTCTCCACACCCTCTTTCAAATTTCGGCAAGGACAGATTAGAGTGAGTGTCGAGGAGGGTGGGCAGCACGATGGGATGGTTGGAAAATAATTTCACGTGAAGCACTGGGCATGTTTGGCTTTGGTTTTTCATTCTGTGAGGGTGAACTAGGAAAATATAAGTGAGAACCAGGTCCACTTGCAGGGAAGCAAATTGCAGCTCAAGACTAGGAGCAGTTCTAAGATTTAAAGCCTCCCCACATTGGAAGTGACTGATACACACAGTAAATATTCCCAATACCCCTCTCTTAGGTATTCAGTCCACGGTGGTGAGCTTGCCTGGATTAGGGTTTTCAAAGAGTCATGTTTACTTCCTCTTCCTCCCTTCCTCTCTCCCTCCCTCCCTTTCTTCCTTCCTTTCTCTCTCTTTCTCCCTCCCTCCCTTCCTTCCTTTTGCCATATTCTGTACCAGTATTTTTTAAACGAACATAAAAAATATATGTCTAAACTGTGCAAAGTGTACTTAATCTTAAGTGTACAGCTGGCTGAATTTTTTAAAATTTTTTCCTTTTTATTTATTTGATAGAGAAATCACAAGTAGGCAGAGAAGCAGGCAGAGAGAGAGACAGGGAAGCAGGCTCCCCGCTGAGCAGAGAGCCCGATGTGGGGCTCGATCCCAGGACCCTGAGACCATGACCTGAGCCGAAGGCAGAGGCTTAACCCACTGAGCCACCCAGGCGCCCCCAGCTGGGTGAATTTTCATATATTTTATAACTTTGTTATCCACCATCTAGATCAAAATACAGAACACTTCAGCACCCCTCCTGCTCCTTCTCAGCCAATAATCCTTCTACTCCTAGGTAACCACTGTTTTGACTTCAATCACTATCAATTTGCACGTTCTTCAACTGAATATAAAGTGTCATTTTTTACTTAATATTTTTCTTTAATTAGATTCATTTTAAAATAGCTTTCTATTTGATCTAAGAGATAACATCAATGAAATAATGGTCTGTGTGACAGGCATTTTTCCTCCTAGCACACAGTGAAATACACACTGAAACACGCACACAGACACACGCGTATCAAAATGAAGTTTCATTGACCCAGTGGACCACTTTTCGTTTCTCAGAAGCCACCAGATGATTTCTGAGGTCCTTTGAAACTGGTAGATTGTGATCGAGTAGCCACAAGTTCACGGAATGCCCTGTCAAAATCTTGATGCCGCTAGAGAGCCATCCTGCATCCAGTGATACATCCACCTAAAACACTTGTTGGATACCTAACAATGACTCACAGAAGACTAAACCCCACTTTCCGATTGCAAGTGGAAGTAGAAGAGTAAATCATTTCAGTACGTGTGTGATAACTGCTACAGTCAGGTAAGCATCGGCATACAGAGGCAGGGCGGTTTCCGGAGACAGGGCGGAGAGGAGAGGGTGGGTGGGCATTTTCCTGCGAAACCTCCGCCAGCCACCCCACTCCGATCACTTTGCGGCGGCACAGCGGCGGCAGGCAACCTCAGCCTCCCTTAGCAACCTGAACGCACCGCCCAGATGCCTTCCTATTGGCCTCCCGGAACGTGATGGGCAGCTCTGCAGTGCAATCCCAGCTCGCGGCCCCTGTCTCCGCGCTTACTCACGGGAGGGCTCGTAGGCGTTACCGCCCTCCCCAGGTGCCCCGCCCGTGCCCGAGCGGCTTGTGGCGCATGCGCGGCGGGTTGGGCTGTGTGCAGGGCCAGCGCGGAGCCGGAGCAGCCGCGGTGAAGCTTCTGGGCTCCGCTGAGACCGCCGTGCCCGCTCGTTGCCTCGGCCGCCGCTGCCTCAAGCCGTCGCCGCCGCCGGGTGAGCGACTGCCTATTGTCCTTCTCGGTGGCGACGGTGCGGAGCTGCTCCGGCTGGGCCCGCGGGGGAGCCCCGGGCGCCGCACGGTGAGAGCGCAACTTAGTTGGCGGAGTTGGGGGAAGTTCTGTGATTTGGGGAGGGGTCGCGGGCGAGGCGCGCGGGCCCCTCCTCCTGCGGCCGCTCCTCGGGGCCGCGGCCGGGACCAGCGCCGGGAGGGGGGCGGGGCCGCGGGGCGAGGAGGGGGCGGGCGGGGATGAAGGGGCGGCGGTGGGGGGCTCCCCCCGGCCCCCTCCTCCCCCAGCGTCGCCCCCTCCTCCCCCTGCGTCGCCCCCTCGCTCATTGTCTGCTCCGCGGCCGCGGCGCGCCTCCCAGCTCCCGCCGCCCGGCTTCGGGATCGCAGGCGCGGGGGGCGCGGCCGCGGTTGCGGCCGCGGGGGGCCCCTCGGGCGAAGACGACTCCCCGGGCGCCGGGAGCCGCGGCCCCTTCGAGGGTCCCTCCTGTTGCCGGGCTCCGCGAACAAGTGCTCGGGACGCGAGGGAGCGTCTTCCCCGGGCCGACGCGGACGGTAAACACTCCGGGCCGCGCCCGCCTTCGGGGGGCGCCTTCCGCGCCCATCTCGGGCCACGCGGGTCGGGGCCACGCCGCCGGAGGGGACCCGCGCTGGGACTGTGCAGCGGGTTCAGCTCTCCACCGAGTTCAAGTGCAGCCATACTTTGAGGCCAAACAAAACATTAACAAAACTTTTTTTTTTTTTTTTTTTTGGCTTACTTATACTATTTTTTTTTTTTTTTGCAAAGTTAACCAATATGAGAAGGTTAAAAGAAAATGGGGGAAAACCCTCAATTTTTCTTCCCCACGAGATAAGATAGACGGACTTTTTTTACTTTTAGGTTTTTTTGTTTTTTTGGAAATACGTAGTTTTTAACAGCAAAATGATTTCATCAGTTTAAGTTTTTAAGTGTTACTGTGAACTGAGGAATTCACAATGAAAGTTGGATTGAGCAATATTTTGGTGTTCGTTCTCAGCTTTTACACTCCTGGGTGAAGTTATTTTTGGAGTTTATTGCCTCAGGCATATACAACTAAAGGAAAAAGCAGTGTGCCTTTTTTTTTTTTTTTTTCTCGTATTCCAATCCACCCCCTTCTGTTTTCTGAAGAAGCATCTTATTCTGTTTTTCTAAGCCGTTGGATTGCCCAGGTCAGAACAAACGACTGCGTGCAGTTTTTTGAAAGATGATTTTTTGCAAGTTGGTAAAGACGGTATGATCAGCTGAGATGAATTCCTGTACTAGTTCTTGTATTGCTCGGTCTTGGGAGATTTTCAGGCTGCATGAGACACAAGCCTTGTCAGGTTTGGGGTTCGATTCTAGCGAATTTGATTCACTTGGCTTATGATGTGAGAATAATTTGGCTTATGATGTTGAAGACCCCCAAGTGAAACTAGCTTAAGTGTCAAGTTGGTAGTGGAACAGAATGGCCGGAAGGTGTTAATATCCGTTTTCATATCCCATTGCCCTCTCTTAAATTAAAAAGAAAAATTTGAGAAATGCTCTGTGTGTCAGTTTGATTGATTTCTCATTTGAAATGAGTAAGGCGGGGAAGTGTTCCTGGGTTTTGCTGGTTGGGTTGGCCTTGTTTTGCTTTGAAAAACCAACTTTCTTCACCTGATGAGGCCAAAGAAAAATGTCTTTATGGCATAAGCATTGTACTTTTTTAAACTACAACAACAAGGTCACTTTTCGGAGTCACGGTTCTTGCCCTTACAGCTTTTCTTCCTGGTTGTGCAGTTGGGTATGCCTGTGTGGGATGATTGTGTGGATGAAGGTTGGCCGAGGTTGGAAGGGCTGTCCGGGAGGGACTTAATGTAAACAAATAGAACTGACAACAAAGCCTGACAAGTAGGCCAGTTGCTTTCCTTCTCTGAGCTGTGACACCATGTTATACATACTGTTGTTTTAGGATTTCTCACACACTTCATTTATCTGCCTGAGTGATGGTAACTGTATGCGTAGTATAAATGGACTCCTCCTCTAGTCTCTTAACTCTTTGAGGGCCGTGATGGGCTTTATTTCTTAGTTTTGTCCCCTCTTTGCCTGGAAGGACTCTTAATGCAGGGTAGGTGTTACACGTTTGAAATTGGTGACATGTTTTGTACTAAGCTAGTGATAGTGCATGCAGAACCACTGACTCTGGGAACTTGTCCAGAATGACAGCTCATGTGCAGGTCTGTGATGAAATTTAGTTTACTTTAAAAGGATTTCATACCTTTCTTTTTATCTGTTAATTACTCCTTGAAAAGAAGTGAAGTTTAAATAGAGCTCTGTGAGTTTTCACAATGTGGTTCTCATTTAATTTTCTCCATTTTCTGATGAAATGATTAAGACTGCTGGACACATCATTTCACATCTCTGTCTTTTCTTCTATTCTGAAGTGGGGAGGTAGCCCAGTTTTGAAGAATACACCTTTTTTGAAGCCGGGTACTAGTCAACGGAATGTTGACTAAGTTGGGAGCCACGGAGCTTCTGTGTCCTTCTAAAAGGTGTAGTACCATACTTTGCAGGGTTCTTTAGAATAACTGAAACCATGTGAGGTACTTAATAGTGGGCCAGACATTAAGTAGGTGCCTTTTACCTGTAGCTATAGTGATAATAATTTTGATAACTTTTTATATGGTTTAAAGCGGTTTTAAAAGTCTGATGCTTCTGAGTTTAGTGGTTTAGCTATTTCTTTCATAAGGAAGGAATCCTTTTGAGAATTGAGTGTCTTCAATTGAATGAATTTTTTTTTTTTTTAAATACATTCAGTTGAACTGAATGTTAATAGAAACTGTTATCTTCTCATTGACCTTAACAGGTGTTTGTGTGGAATTTGCGGAGTAGCTTGGTAGGGTATGACTGTGCATTTATAGTGTTTAGGAAATGGTGAGAGATGGATTGTTTTCAACACTTGCAATAGGATATCCAAGTTATTTAGTCAGTTCCAGCTTTTGTACCTTATTTTCCTTCAGTCTTGAAAAATAATTGATAGGGATTATGACTACATTTTTCAAATTCGTTTAAGATAGACCTGGACTGGGGGTTAATTCATTGTTAGCACAGTTCAGTCATGTTAGCAAATTGCTCACTTCCCCTTCAAGCTAACGCCTTTGAAGGTGCCACCATTTGCGGAAGGAAGCAGTGATTTGAATCTGTCATACCAACTCCGTTTATACTATTTACAGTAGCAAATGGAATAGATAGATTCTCGAACCTGTAATCAGGACATTTCTGTATATCGAATCTCATGTTTCCATTAGTCTTCTTATAAAATGAGGGTACAAAGTTAGACATGGAGGGTTATAGTAAACCTTCAAAAATTTTATAGATCAGACTCACAGATGGAAGAAAAAACATACCTGACAAAGCTAGATGAATAAATTGGGACTTTTTGATAATCCTTTCTTTTAAAGTTAATACTTATGTGCACTTGAATAGCTCAGTTATTACTGATGGGGACAGGGTCTATTTGGAAGCAGTGCTCCTGAGTCATTGTCAGCTTGTCTTACCACTGTAAATGAGGAGAGGGGAAGATGTTAGTGGAAGCAATTTCATTTCCTTCATATGTCCTCCCGTTTATGATCTTGAAGTCCACCTATGGGTTGATTGCTGCATAATAAACAGAAGATGAACAGATAACCCATTTTGTTAGCCTGTGCTGGGAGGATAGACCACCTGCTCTTGCGATACTGTGATTGTATGAATATTTATGTGGAACAATGGTGTGATTTCCCTTTTCTACCTCTTCAGAACTCTGTTCAGAGCCTGGCAAAGGTGGATATCAGTATGTTTCTGTGATGTAGGTATTGGGGTGGGAAAAAGGAAGAACTGTGAGGAATTAACCATTTATGTCACTCTGTAGGCTCTTCTTTTGGAAACCATGCTTTTGAATTTTCACTTCTGATAGTATCATAAACCCATATTTTGCCATAGCCCCACCATCTAAAATGGCCAGTTATTCCTGAATGGTTAGATATTAAGTAGGTATGTCGCCTGGTAATTGATTTCTCTTTTAGACAACTAAAGATGTCAAGTTAGGGAAAAGCATGTAGGAGTCATGTAAAGAATTTCATAGAACCCAAGATGATTCTCTGATGGTGATCTCTACTAAAAACAGGTGGTATGGAGCCACATGTCTGACTTCACAACCAGACTTTACCATTTATTGACTGTGTGTCCTTGAGCAAGCCACTTAATCTGTCTCAAACATAAGATCCTTGTAAACTAAAAACATTCAATATTAATCATCTCTTATCACTTACTACTGTTATGAGAAACAAATAAGGTAAAATACCATACCAGTGCTATGCCATTTTGTAAATGTATTGGTTGACTGCTGGTTTGGATAAAATTCAAATCCTGGTTGAAAAGAGGAAAACAGGGGCGCCTGGGTGGCTCAGTGGGTTAAAGCCTCTGCCTTCGGCTCAGGTCATGGTCCCAGGGTCCTGGGATTGAGCCCCACATGGGGTTCTCTGCTCGGCAGGGAGCCTGCTTCCTCCTCTCTCTCTGCCTGCCTCTCTGCCTACTTGTGATCTCTATCTGTCAAATAAATAAATAAAATCTTTAAAAAAAAGAAAAGAAAAGAGGAAAACATCCAATTATGTCGGTTTTTCTTTTTTTTTTTTTTAATAAAAGATAATTAAAATATGCTATAATTATTGTCATTCTCCTTGCTTGGGAATATTGATATGTTTTACCTTGGCTCTTCTCCGTTTTCCTTTTATAACATATTTGTCATGGAGTACTTTTCTAAACTCTAAAGAAATTTCAGTTCACAGTGCTTGCTGTTAGACCCAAGTTACTGTGAAATCACAGGAACTGACGGTGGATGCCCGTTCTTGAAGTCAGGTTAAACCACAATAAACAGCAAACAAAGAATGTCAGAATATTTTAAGAGTACAAAAGAAGCTAGTTTAGTTGTCTGGTGTTTACTGACTCATTTTCTAAAATAAATTTTTTTAATAGGTTTACTCAGATCGGGAGTGTGCCTTGTCTGTGCCAGATGTTATACTTTGTGTCTTACCTACACTTCTTATTTAATTTTGGGGAAA